CCTTGGCAGTTTGTTTTTGCGTGAAACCTGTTTTGGGGTTTGCCCCCCCCCCCAACCCTCCCCTTGGGCCCTCTGGTGGCAATGCTCTCAGCCATATCCATATTCGGCTCAAGCCCTTATGGTAAAACCCAATCAAACGAGTGCAAGAGTGACCCTAGAGCCAGAAGGAGTACCCTAGAGACTAGTGGCACAGCAGGGCACATCCGACGGCCAGAACGAAATGGGATGAACTCAAAATGTTGCCCTTTATAATCAACGGCCATGTTGGGCTCCAAGAACAGTTCTACAATTTCTACAATTTCTACAATTCCTTTTCTTTCTCTCTCTCGATAAATTTCAGTTTGCCATTTTGACATGTAAATTTCATTGCAGATAACTTATCTCAATGTATCTCCAACGTCCTTATGCTTTCCTTAAGGTTGATTTGAAACCCCAATCTTTATAATTAAACAACAATGCAATTATGCAGAAGTGAGTTAGGCCAGTTGGTCAAAACAGTGAGCCCATCCTCCATACATCCAAGTTAGAATCTATGTCTACGTATAATTTAGATTATTATTTATATTTTTAAATAATAAAAAACAATGCAAGGTCATCTTTTGTACTGTTGTAGCACAGTATCTTTCCAATTTTTCCCAAAGAATCATCACTGCAGTGCAGTCAGTCACTAAATAAGGTTGATGGCTATTTTTATTTTGGTAAATTAAGGTTGGTGCCAATTGGCAAAGCAAGACCCCCTCTCCAACTAATGCATATATGGATATAATTTTCTGATCTCTTGCCTGCAGGTTATACATACCATGCACTAAAACATAAGTCACATAACTCCAAATATATAATTTTTCCCATTAAAAAATAACATACATCAAATCAAGCACACATTGATATTAGACTTTTTCTCTCTTCTCTTTCTTAACGCAATAGATCCCATTGTTTTATTGATGAATATATATCCTCTATTAGTTACCAAGCGTGCAAAGCCAAGCAGAGTATCTTATTTCAACGTTACTCATCATAATTCCCCCCAAACTTCGGTTTGTCACGGTTAAATGTGATCCCTTTCTTCTGCCAAGTGTACTTATGCTCAGAAGAGACACTCAAGATACCATCGGCATCAATAGAAAAGCAAATACAAAATCCAGGAAGATTGTTAAGAGCTGCAGGAATGTCTTGGAGGCTATATTCAGCCAAAAAGTTCATACTTTCCGGTATGCTACTCTCACCTTCATATATGCAGAAGTTGCTTAAAGCTTGATCGTCCTGAACAGTATTAAAACGCACTTTCTCGATCGTAGGAATTCTAATGTTTCTTGGAATTAAATCGCAGAGTCTCTTGACTGTACCATAATCGTTAAACTCCAGAACAAGTGGCAGAGGAGTGACATCTGAGAGGGTGAAGTCTTCAATGAACTTCCCATTTCCATTCCCACTTAAGACTGCAGCTTGAATGGCGGCACCACATGCCACTGCCTCATACTGACTGATGCCCTTGCACAGCTCCTTCCCCTTGAAAACCTTCTGTAATAGCTCTTGCACCATGGGAATTCTAGAAGAGCCACCAGAAAGAACAACGTCGTGGACATGGCTTATGTCCATTTTCGCATCCGTCAAGCACTTGGCCACAGGCTCCATACACTTGATGAACAAATCCATATTCAGTTGTTCAAATTTCTCACGGGTAAAATTTATAGTGAAATCAATACCCGAGCACAAACAATCAATTTCAATGTCAAAGTCAGACGCAAGTGAGAGACTTTCTTTTGCAATCTTACATTGATTTTTTAACCTCCTAAGAGCTCTGAAGTCTTCACTAACGTCCAATGTCTTCTCCCTCTTGAATCGCTCGACACAATACTTCACCATTCTGTTCTCGAAGTCTTCGCCGCCAAGGTGAGTGTCTCCAGCGGTCGCCAGGACTTGAAAGTCACCAGAACTAGTCATGGTAAGCAATGACACATCTAAAGTGCCTCCACCCAGATCAAATATCATCACATTTCTCGTGCTATTCCAACTGGACTTCTCGCTGAGGCCATAAGCAATGGCAGCAGCACTCGGTTCGTTCATAATACGCATCACATTTAGGCCAGCAGAGAGGCCAGCTTCTTTTGTAGCCTGACGTTGGGAGTCATTGAAGTAAGCAGGGACAGTGATAACTGCATTTTTCACAGTTGAGCCCAGGTAGGTCTCGGCAATCTTCCGCATCTTTTCCAGAATCATGGCAGAGATTTCTTCAGCAGTAAATTGTTTCTCTTGGCCATTGTGGGTAACCACAATCATGGGCCTGTCAGCTGTACCTTCAACCACCTTGAATGGCCAGTGCTTCACATCACTTTGAATAGAGGTGTCACTGAATCTCCTACCGATTAGCCGCTTTGTATCTACAAATTGATACCAAGTTTATTTAGACTTCTATTCCATCACATATAGGAATTAAATATTTCATGGTTGAGTTAAGTAGGCATTTGTATAACAATAATGGTATGGGCACCACCTTGTTTACCAACTTTAGTGATACTAACTTACGTGACACATAACGTGACAAGTCATCTCATCTACCACATCATTTTTTTTTATTAATCATATTTTGACATAATTATTAAAAGTAAAATCTTAAACCATTTATAGAACAAAGAAAAAAGAAAAAACCAAAAAAACCAGTGACAATCCCCAGATCTGCCATGGCCTCCACTCCCCCAAATATGACATGACCATTGAGATCCAAACCCACGATATACCGTCATATGTGAAGTGGGAAAAATTTGGATTTATTTTATTTCTTTGAATATCATTTTCCCCAGTCATAGAGGTAAGAGTTTTCAAATGTCATTGGTTATAGTTCTTTAATCTTTGTTTTCTTCTCCTCTACTGGTTCGATACTAATATTTCTAGGGTTTTTAAGCCTGAAACTTGTCCTTTTACACAAACATTAGATGTAGTTTTCTATACTCACCACTCCTTCGAATGCAACAGATTTTCGCTACAAGAAATACAACTCTTTTGAGATTTCAAGCCCTTTCAACAGCTTCCTAGTTCTTTCAAGGAGGGCCTATATAATTATCTCAACTTTTTTTGTTTACAACATTGATAAAATCTAAACTGATTATATAGATGCAAACAAAACGATAAACATACATGTGAAGTGTGAAAATTTTTGGATCTGTTTTTTTTCCCCTTTGATTAGTCGGAAACCATGAAATATTTCTGGTAGAGCCGAGGCCATGGCAGATCTCGGAATGAAGGGAGTATATCAGATTTCTTTATAATAAAAAATTGTAAATGGTTTAAGTTTCAAATTTTTTGGACTAAATAATTAAGAAAAGATGACGTGGTCCTCCTAATTTGGTATCACTAATTTTGATAAACAAAGTAGCGTTACTGTTTATATAATAGCTTCTTTACCAATACGTACTTTTTTCACCTTGGAAGGATCTTACTGAAAGTTAACAGATAAAATTTTAACTTCCCAGAAAATCTTAAGCTTAAGGAAAATGCAACTTCTTATGATTAGTTCTAAGTGATAAGTAAGAAATATGAGTGAACAGAATTAAAAAGGAGACAGTAAACAGTTATAACAAAACATGATAATTTTAATCCTACGTACCAAAGATTGAGTTGGTAGTGTTTCTCTGGACTTGGTTAAATGCTGCATCACCTACCAAAATAGTCTCATTAGTTTCAGTGAAGGCAACATAAGATGAAGTCTTCCTGCTCCTGTGATCGTTCAGTATGACCTCTACACCATCTTTCCGCCACACGGCCACGCGGGAATACGTCGTTCCCAGATCGATCCCGATAGCATGGTCTTCTTCTTGGCCACCCTGATCATGATTTAAGGTAGTATTTCTGCGCTGCTCATCCAGATGAATTTCCTCTTTCAACAATAAGTCATCCAACTCATCCCAACTACTTACTGCAGATACTTTCATCCTTTCACGAATGGGATTGTACTCCTCTGGTAATCCCGCCAGGATGTGTATATTAAGTAGGTCGAGATCATCCACAGGAGCACCGGCAGCTGCTAGATCGGCCGCCAACTGTTTGATAGTTTCTAGATACGCAGTCATCCGCATGTCGGGATCTTTCTTCACGTTGTGTAGATCTGATTTAAGCTGATAGATGCGAGCATGAGCGAGATTGGTGAAGTGTTCCTTGAGATTGAGCCAGACCTGTCGTGAAGAGTCAACTCCGGTGTGCATGACAATTTGTTGGAGACTTTCAGATAGAGAGGCCTTTAGCCATTTCAGAGCCTGTTTCTCTCTGCCATACCAATTAGTAAGGGCAGACTGAACTCGATCAGGACGAGGCTCTGTTCCATTAATGATTCCAGAAATATTATGATGGTGAAAATATGAAAGGGAGAAAGTTCTCCACTGTTGATAGCTATATATATCACTCGTGAGTTTGATTGGAACCAGTAATGGTGACATGTTCTCTTCGGCCATGGAAGCACCAGGAGATTGGCTAGAAGAAGTTGGAGAGCTGAAGTTGACTATCTTAATGTGTGTGTGGGGAGGGGGTTGTGTGGAGGAAATTACAGTACTTTCCAAAGTCAACAGATGAAAAGTCTAAGTCAATACCTACGTACCTAATACATAATACATTCGTAAAATATTTGAATTTAACTTAGTCTACTGATAAACCATATATATATTTAGCCTCATTGCGGAGAAGTTCTTGTGTCCGCATGCCGTATATAGAGATACAATGAGAGATAAAAGTTTAATAAATCAAATGAAACAAAATGAAATTTCAGGAGGCAAAGTATTTCTACGCGGGACAATGCTTTCAACACCTACCTCACCTCACGTAATGTTCTCATCACAATAACATCAATATATGATAAAGCTCTTCGAAACTTGGGTTGCTTGTCTCTCATTGTCTTGGCTGTATAATTAAGTGTGCAACTTTCTTGTTAATTCCTTTTATACAAACAACATGATGATTGTCATCATATAAATAAATTCAACTTTTATTCAGGGATTTCTCAAATAATAAGTTTATTTGATGAATATTCTTGTAAGGTCCAACACACATTGTTTTTTAATGATCTGAACAGTCTAATTTTTTAGATATTCCCTTAAAGATCATATCTGCAAAAAATCACTTGAATCCAAAACCATTTGACTACTCAATTAGATTATTGTTATTTTAGTCTTTTCTTGAAACATCGTGTTCATTTATTTTATTGCTATCAATTATATGCCTAAATGATTTTCAATTTTTCTGATTTTTTTGCAAGGATGATCTATGAATAAAGACTTGAAAAATAAATGATTTGGATTGTTGAAAAAATAAATCATATGGTACTCCTTAAATAAAATTATATATATATGAAATATATAACAAAGCAGCTGGAAGTCTTGGTCGTGATAGAAAGCAAAAGTCGCTTTAATCCATTCATTAGTTAATTCGGTTTTGCATAACAAAAACAACTAGAATATGGCAAAACGATAAGTTGCAGAATAAAATACAGCCTTGTATTAAAAAACAACCCATTCATTATTTTCCTCCATCTCGCAACATTTCTTCAGTAAAAAAACAAAACAATAAACTTAAGTTTGATTAATATAGGTGAGTTATATTTTCTTTTTATTTTATTCTTTTTATCATTTGTAGATTATGTTGGTGGGTTTCCATTGTATTAAGTTTGACGAAAGAAGAGCTGCATACTTTTGGCGTTTGTTTAATTAAGGAATTTTTGTTTTAATTTTATGAAATTGAGTTTTTATTTTAGGGTTGTGTCAATTTTAAATCCGTTATATTAAATTTAAATGAAATGACGTATAGAGAATGCAAGTCAAGCAAGTTCTAACAGAGAAAATCAAAACAGAGCATCTGTATCCTTCCTCCATCTTTTACAACCACCGTCCCCCAAGCCAGATAGAAAACCAGCCAATCAGGAAATGCACAAGCAGCCAGCAACAGGAGTTCCCATCAGATTTCAGCATTGGAAGCACTCAATTATTCTGCCACGTCAGTCCTATGTTTTTTTATTGGGTTTCTTTTGTCTATCGAAAGGTTTCTTTTCTCTACGTGTAAGATTGATTTTTTTTAATTTACAGTAAGCACTTTCAGATCATACGAAATGGCATACCAACCAAGTGCTGAAAGTGCTTCCTGTAAATTAAAATGAAAACATCGCAGACGGATCTCAGGTACAAGAAGCAAATCTTAGCCAGCACTATCACATTTGGAGCACATCATCAATTTGATAGTGGCCCTATGAAATGGGCAAAAAACAATTAGGCAGCCCAACATACACCCTAATACGGGCCAAGAAGATCTTATACAACAACCTCATATTAGTCCAAATAATATAAAGATCAAATTTTGCCACTTTCTTTAACATGACATGGTATCATAACTCGAATCGAACACAACTAGCTAACAAAACTGTTGAAATATAAGTGGTGAGCTGATGAGAGTGTGATTAAAGTCCCTAAGCTGAAATGGTGTATTCACTTAGTCTCTAAAATAGGCAAGTGTGAGGCGTCAGTTAGTGTTAAGTGGCTATAGCCACGTGTAAAGATCTTAGAAGGCAGTTTTGGATGTAAGGCTGTGATTCTCAAGTGATGTAAGAGAATCCAGCTATTTCTCTAACAGTCATATAGCACACACTGTGCTTGCCCGAAAGTTTTTAGAGCATACAATACAAAAATACAGAAGTTTTGTTTTAGCTAAGCTCTCGGTTTTCTCTTGCATATTGTTTTTCTCTTCTTCTTCAAAACCTATACAAAACTCTAACATGGCCTCAGAGCCAGGTTTCGGTGTCTTGATCTGGGCGTAAAACTGTGAAGGTCACTGAGCTAAAATCGAAGCTCAGCTGAGCATCGGAGAAGAGAAGCAAGCTGCTGAGATTCAGACCAAACGATGGCTGGATCTGGAAGTTCTGAGGTACGAACTCCGATCTTTTCCGGTGAGAACTACGAGTTCTGGAGGATCAAGATGGTGACAATCTTCAAATCTCTTGGGCTGTGGGGTCTGGTAGAAAAGGGGATTCCAGTCTCTGATTCGAAGATGAAGACCAAGAAAGTTGAAGAATCATCGGAGGAAGAAGCTGAAGCAGAGATGTGTGCTGTGCTCATGAAGGATGCAAAGGCACTGGGCATCATACAAAACGCTGTCTCTGACCAGATCTTCCCTCGGATTGCAAATGCCGATTCAGCAAAAATGGCTTGGACTCTGCTCTACAGTGAATATCATGGAGGTGATCAGGTTAGATCTGTAAAGCTTCAGAATCTTAGACGAGAATTTGAGTATATGAGGATGCGTGAAGGTGAACAACTTACTGCATATCTTACTCGATTAAATGAATTGATAAATCAAATGAAAACATTTGGAGAGGTGTTATCAAACGAGAGGCTGGTTCAAAAGGTGTTAATCAGTCTTAGTAGAGTTTATGATCCCATCTGTTTGGTGATTGAAAATACAAAGAGTTTGGAGACCATTGAATTGCAGGAGGTTATTGCAATATTGAAGAGTCAAGAGCAACGTTTTGACTTGCATTATGTGGACATAGCTGAGAAAGCATTTGGTTCTTTCTCAATCGATCAAAAGGGGCAGAACAAGAATAATGCTCAGTCTGGTTCTGCCAAGTCTCAGAAGAGTTGGAAGCCTAACAACAAACCATGGGAGTCTAGACAGAAGCCACAGCAAGCTGGCGCTGGACAGACTTCAAATGGATCACATTCTGTGCAGCAAGATGGGGTGAAGCCTCAATGCAAAGTCTGCTCTAAATTTCACTATGGAGAATGCAGGTATAAGGGTCAATCCAAGTGCTATAAGTGTGATAGATTTGGACATTGGGCCAGAGACTGCACTGCAAACAAAGGCGGACAAAAAGCAAATAATGCAAGCCAAGTAGAAGTAAGAGGGAATCTGTTTTTTGCAAACTGTGCAATTTCAGAAAAGGGTGAAAATGGAGAATGGTATGTAGACAGTGGCTGCAGTAACCACATGACTGGGAAGAAGGAGCTGTTAATTGACATAAACTCAAAAGTCACAGGCAAGGTGCAAATGCCAACAGGGGAGCTTGTAAGTATAGCCGGCATGGGCACTTTGGTGCTTGACACAAACTCTGGTGCAAAGTATATCAGAGAGGTCATGTATCTGCCTGGTTTGAGAGAAAATCTCTTGAGTGTGGGCCAAATGGATGAACATGGTTATCATTTGGTATTTGGAAGCAGCATGTGCAGCATCTATGATAGTTCTTCTCTTGAGAACCTTGTTATGAAGGTGGAAATGAGAAAGAATAGATGTTATCCATTATCATTACCCTCAAATGATTTTGTTGCACTAAGAGCTGGTGTAGTCAACTCTACTTGGGTTTGGCATAAAAGAATGGGGCATTTACACTTGAAAGGCCTAAACCAACTCAAGGAAAAAGAGATGGTACATGGGCTGCCACATTTGGAAACTGTAAATGAAGTGTGTGAAGGCTGCCAATTAGGAAAACAACACAGAGAGTGGTTTCCTAAAGATCAAGCATGGAGAGCTAGTACACCTCTTGAACTTATACACATGGACTTGTGTGGACCAATGCAAAATGAATCTCTAGGAGGTAACAAATATTTCATGTTACTCATAGATGATTTTACAAGGATGATTTGGGTCTACTTCTTGAGATACAAGTCGGATGCACTAAATTGTTTTCGAAAATTCAAGTCTATGGTGGAGTTGCAAAGTGGTTACAAAGTGAAATGTGTTCGAAGTGATAGAGGGGGTGAGTTCACTTCTAGTGAATTCAATAAACTATGTGAAGATGCAGGGATTCAAAGACAATTCTCCATGGCTTACACACCCCAGCAAAATGGAGTGGTAGAGAGAAAAAATATGACTATGGTAGAGATGGCTAAGGCTATGTTGCATGAGAAGGAGCTGCCCTATTATCTATGGGCAGAAGCTGTCCACACAGCAGTGTACATCTTGAATAGATGTCCTACTAAGGCTCTTAGGGATAAGACTCCTTTTGAGGCCTATAGCACCAGAAAACCAGGTGTTGCTCATTTAAAAGTGTTTGGCAGTGTGTGTTTCGTGCATAAAC